TTTACCCCTCCCGGATCAAGAAAGTACTTCTGATTTTGTAACTGCACAGCAGATGAGGGAAAACAGAACAGGTGTGTAGATGGGTGTGGCAGTCAGGTGATGGGGAAAGGAGGGAAAGCCAGAGGGCATCTGGTACATTAGTGGAGAATGGCAATGAATGTGTGAGGAAGTGATTGGGCTGGAGGGAGGGACAGAGAGGCAAACTGTGACAATGTTCTCCTTCTTAGTTGAGTGTGTTCATATGACATATTTTACTACTTAGAACTAAACACAAAACAGCTGAGGCTGAAGGGAATGTCATTAGTTTTTCAGGAATTTGGTCACAAACCAAAGTGTTGGAGAGATTAAAATTTAGAGCTGATGAAAAGGAAAGGATCACCAAATTGGTACAATTCCAATTGTTTTATTTCACTCAAAACCACAAATGTCAGCCTCATGGTGAGGGAACAGTCAGTGGGATTTGTCCTCTGGGGACCATGAATGTCTGACACAATTTCGTGGCAATCCATCTTCGATAGTTGTTGAGATATGTCCATCTGGACCAACAGAGAAATCAACACCTGCATCCCTAGAGCAACAGTACCCAGGTTATCCATCCACTCCAGCTAGCATAGTTAGGTTTCTCAAAACCAGGATAGGGACATACCCAGGTTACAGAAACCACGATACGATATGTTATCTTACCTCAGATAACACACTGTGCAACTGGGATACCAAACACCCGATAATAACTGGGATATGAGTGGGCATGAAAACACACTCAGTGAGTCCTTTCAGCTGCTGCATGAATTCCACTTCATCAGGGATGTATTTAAGATGCTGTACATTTTAGTCAACTTCATATCAGGGAAAATGCACAGACATAAGACTCATATTAGTCTTAAAACGTTGAACTATACCTTTAAATCCTAGTCAGCTTAAACAACTCAAACCTTTGCTGCCGTGGATGTGATTGCTCACTGAATTACGTCTCGTCAGTGGGGTCATATGGACAAGATACTAGAACTAGCTCCTCTGTCAGCAGAGATCACACCAAGCTCAAAATCCCTTTGTGTATATGTGTAATACACTCATAGGCTCAGTCAAACAGTAGCCAAACCCCTCAACAGTCCACCTAGAATAAGATGTGTAAGATAGATGTGCCATTCATCCATCCATCATCAACCGCTTATCCTGCGTACAGGGTCACGGAGAGATGTGCCATAAATAACAATAAAAGTTTCTTGTTTGTAATCTGTAGTTCATTCCTGGACATATGTCCTGCAGTTAAATGTCCTTTGGAGTATTTCAGTGCAGTCCTGTCCCTGATCACTTATGATGCACATAATGACACAAAGGGTGAAACAGATTCAGATCAGCACTCCCTACTCTGAGAGGCAGCAGAACATTGAAGGTGCTTCTGACCTCTTTTGACGAGTTCATTCATTCTCTCTCTCTCTCTCTCTCTCTGAGCAGCGTGATCAATGCCGATCATGGAAATTGAGCCCCTAAACCTCAGTCGTGTACCGCTATCTTTCATGTCTTCATGGCTCCCTCTATGCACGCGTCAAATAAATGTCAAAAATTCAAAAGGAGGCTGTTCTGCTCCCCCTTTCTATAAAAGACAGCATTTAAAAACATAAAAGGAGAGGAGGCTCAGTGTACCTGACGCCCTGTATTGCTCTGATACACTCCATCTGCCAGCTTTTTTTCTTTACTGCAGGATACACTGTTGAGGTTAAATTGTGAACGGACTGTGTTCAAGTAAAAAAGTGGAGCAGTGTTCCCATGAGTCGCCACGGCCATCAGCTAAACCCTGCAGAGAAAACAAAATGTTGATGTGAATAATGTTCTCACAGCACTGTGCTTTTTAACCATGTCAACAGCCTTTATCTACTAAATATACTGATGAAATTGTATTTAATTCAAAATTTGCATAATTCAAAATGATTCCTTTTATAACGCTAAAGCTATAATAGCTAAAGCTATTTGTTGTGATTGAAGTTGCAAATGGAACATTATCTGTTGATCATTTACTTCAGAGTACAGCTTATCTCCCTAATTGAATACCACAGCATGTGATGTTTAGTAGCGTTTTGGGTTAAACAGAGTAAGACATCTTTAGATCTGTATTTACCACTTTTCTTGTCCAGTGATTGAACTAAACATGATAGCCAACTTAATCAAAACTTGTTGCTTTTAAGTGGCTGATAAAATGATAAAAGCTTGTAGAAATGCAGAAAAAGGCGTTTAAATCCTGTTTTTTTTAATAGGGGAGAACACAATAGGGCTCTATTGTGTCAGTTTTCTAACCAATGTTACATCCTTGAGGCGAGTACTACAGGTTTGAAAATCAAATCAATAATAGCAACCGTTATAGCAATAAATGTGAACAAAATTGAATCATATCCGTTCAGATTCTCCCGAGAGACCCATTTTCGAATGCCCCCTTCTCCCCTGTCCCCCTGACTCCACAATTCAGCAACAAAACTACTAGAATACACATAATTTCAGAATTAACAGTTTTCTGGGGATCCCCAGAAATATGGTCTCCTGATTTAGGCTATGATGTGTGGAGTTTGTTAAGTCTGCTGATAAACCGCACTTATTCTTTATTGACCATGATTATTGACTTGGCCTTTCATCTATACGTGCTTTAAAACTGTGAATTTGGCTGCTAAAAACAGGATGAGGAGTGATCACCCTGACACCTGGGGTGGGTAGTGCACCAACTTCGCTGATACCGAATCTCAATCCAAACTTAATTGAAAAGTTGGCAGCCCTATGAGCGACCCATGGCACATTACATGCAGTCACTCCAATAATTGTTAATCTAAAAATATTGATTTATGCAGATTTAACAATTAATATAACAATAATGTATACAATTAATAAATCTTAGAAGCTAAGATTTTCATACACAATAAGTTGTATGTTGTAAGCTTAGGAAAAACACAGTTAACAGACTGCAATGGTAAAAGAAAAACAAGAGAAAGCAGATTATCGCAAAAGTCAGTATTGGTCCAATATTGGTCTATCCCAATTTGAGAACCCAGACAAAGTAAAGAAAAACATGGTTTTCCCAATTTTCCCAATGCTGCAGATGGGGATGAGCAGCAGGCTTATAGGACCACATTATTTGTGTATCTGATGTGTACCTGGTATGCAAACTGAAGGGGCCTCAAGAAGGCAATCAGCAGGACCAGCTTATCATTTGACATCAAATGTCTTCATTATATCACTACTACCAGCCTGATCATGCTGATTTCCCTTGTTGAGATAAGATCACATGTTTACATCTCAACTCCTTTCCTTACTTCCTGATATTGTCACTTTTTTCATTTTTTGTTAGACTCAATTTACCACACTAAAATCAGAAAAGCAATACTATTCAGTGGACAGAATACCTTAGGTCAGATGCAGAAAATATGACATGGTAATACTGATGTAACATATGAAAAATGTTGAGGTAGTTTAAGGTTGTGATTTATGAAATAACTTAGTAAAAAAGCAATAAATAAATAATACGTTTACTGCATTTAGGACCTCCATGGTGTTACTTACCCATATAGAAATGAACATCATATAAAAGACGCTGGAGTCTCTATGCTGTAAATGCACTCCTGTCCTTTGAAAAAGAAGTCTTGCTCAAACAAAACATACATGCTCATACATGTAAACACACTTAACTATAAATTGAAACAACAAACTCTCTGGATGTCGTTATTAATACATGGGATGAGGTGGAGATGAGCGACAGCCACAAAGCATTGTGGAAATACACAACTGCTGTGCTTCAGGTTTGTTTTCCCAATAATTTCCACCAGGTATAAGTTTGATTAATTTATGTGCTCAAGTATTACTTTAAATAATTTGAGATTTGTAAATTCTCACTATTTACTCCCAATGTATATATATATAATAATCAGTAGCTTTTTTTGTTGCTTTTTTTTGTTACTTTCTTGGACAATGCAGGTATAGTTCTTCTATATTTTGTCTTGTTGCAAGCTATTTTTCAGAAAATATTTAACAAATCATACTTTCAGCATGAAGGTAATGGGGACAGGTCCCCAGCATCGCCAGTTTAAATGACATCTATGAGTGCTTGGCTCCATCATGGGGTCTGTTCATTTAAAGAGTCATGTTCATAAACAGAATGTTTAGAAATTCGACATCTCCAGGTCACACTTCTTCGCATATAAATATGCTCAGTTCCCTTCACAGCCCCACAGACACACTCCTAGACTCACTTACATCACAGATATTTAGGCTGTGATAACTTTATGGCTGTGTAAAGTCTTTGGTATTTATGTATGTAACAAGGAGCATGGGAAATTAAGCATTATTTTCTGCTTCCCTTTTTCTTGTTTCTATGCATGCCAGCATCCTTGTTGAGAATTTATTTGAGAGAACATATTATTTGTAAGGATTAATAAGTTAAGATATAAGTTAACATTCATATTCATAAAACTATTAATCTGTTAAATATGTAGTTAAAAGGAGAACTGCATTTCATTTCATTTCATTTGGAGTTACATTAAAAAAGGGACTTCATTACCCAGGAGGCTGTAGGAAAAGGAGTACGTGAGGTGATGACATTAGCTGTGTGGCCGGAAGCAATGCTGTAACTGTTGTTTAGCACACGCTATATGTATATGTTTTTTGGCCTTTTGTTTACTCACTAAAGAACGTCTTAATGGGATTAACAGTCTCGCTTGGTCATTTTTAGTTAAGAGCTGATTTCTGCTACAGCCCTAGATAGGGTGTTCTGTCATGACCCCTAACTACTTAATATTTTCTTCCTTTAAGTAGGATCACTTTACATCATTTGTTTTCTTGTTTTTAGTCATTTACTTACTTACTTTCCTTGCATAGTTTAAGTTGCATCTAAATGTTATTATAGGTGGGGGTGGGTCAGGGGGGTTTGGATCAGTTCAAACATGTTTTTTGAATTGTCAAAGTATTGTATTGTATTGTATTAACAAAAGTTCAGAGATAAACTTTAGTAAAGTATTTCCTATTTAACTCATTCGCTTTCAATTTCAGATCCATTCAGTGTGGTTCACTGCAGTATTACAAAGTGTCAAGGCCAAAGTTCAGTTTTTTAATCAGTCTGCTTGTATTAATGATGAAACACTTGTTTTCAAAATGTTCGCTCTTTTCTTCTCCTTCATACACTCTCAAACAAACAGCAGAGGCGGCGAGGGGCGTCCCCTTTTCAACAAGCTTAAGTCAAAAGAACGTCCATGAGGCTTTTGATCAGAGTGTATGGTGAACATAGCAACGGCTTGGCACCTGCTCGTCGAGCAATTCATTCCAGGGGAGACGTCAGGAAAGGCATACATTCACAGGCTAGTTCCAGATCTGCAACATACAAAGAGGATTAACAAAAGCCCCATCATATGTGGGAGAGTGTAAAGCTTGTGTCTGCAACATATATGCTTTTTTTTACTCCCAAAATCAAAAGTTCCTCACCTGCTCCCGCTCTATATCTCCATCCCGGTACCTGGCCATAGTTCTGGGCTTCTACATAATCAAGGGGCATCAGTCCTCTTTCTTAAAAATGAGACACAGATCTTGAATTGTGGGTTGTTTACATCCACGTGCTTGACTACGGTGTACTGCTTGGTACATTTCATATATCGGCGTCCTCAAGCATTATACAAAGAAAACACTCACTGTAAAGAAAACTCACCTGTAAAAAACATTTCTCCAAAGTGCTACTAGTGGTCACAAACTCCATATTCACACTATTCTGTGGTTAATTTTATTTTCTTTCAGCATAGCAAATGATACAACAACAACAAATGAAACTGATGTGCTCTTAAGGCCAATTCATGCTTTAAGTGTCCATGAGGGTCCACGTGACATAAATTGCCTCTAAAGCCTAGATCACACTAAGGCTGGGGGATATGGACCAAAAAGTCATGGTCGGTTTTTACTATTTGCTACTATTTTACTATTCTGCCTCCTCAGTTCTCTTCACACTCACAGACCTAACGTACCTCTGCTGCAAACAGGTCAGTGTGCCCTGCTTCTTTCCGTCTCTACCTGTATTTCTGCTCCGGTAACTTTCTCCATCAGTAGGCTACGTTGTATATATGTATATACGTCGCCGGGAAAAAAAAACAGAACTTGTCTTCTGGACTTCCGCGATTCAGTTCACAGCAGCTGCTGCGACGCATGTTAGCCTTTCAAAACAAAACCAATGTGGTACCTAACGAATTACATCTGCACTAGTGTGTTCACTGTCGCTTTACCTGGTCTGTGCTTCTAAAATATCCACTGTGTCGTGACTTAAACGTAATGACTCTGTGTTTCTCTTAAAAATGCTACAATGTGTGGCCAAATATACCTGGGCGCCACGCAAAAGTATAGTGTATGTGAGGGAAACACTGACAGAACTGTTGTTTTTTCCAAGCCAGGTCTTCAGCAGTCTCTCCCTCCATATTGTTAGAGACTTTGTGAGTAGACGGCTGCGTGCAGACGCAGAGGGAGGGACGAGCTGTGCAGTGACGGAGAGAGAGGAGCAAACGCTGGCAGGATTTACAGAAACATTAATTAACTCAACATCAAACTATATCGGTATAAATGGTATTGTCTAATTTTATATCTCTTTTGAAATTATATTGGTATGTACTTTATACCGATATACCGTCCAGCCCTAGTTCACACTACACGATTTTTAGCCCGATTTGCTGGTCGGTGAGCTCGGCGACAGTCAGGCTGTGATTAGGGGTAAATCAGCAATCTTCTGTCGCCAGTTGTTATGTGTGAACTAGTCAACAACAGATCAAAATGGCTCCCTGACGCATCACTGACACATCGCAGATGCCAGCCAGATATCTAGCATGCCAACTTTCTGGAAGAGTCGGCCGACTCGACATCCACATCAGCCAATGAGAGCAGGCAGCTACTTTTTCACTGCAAAACACTTTTTACTCCCCTCCAGCTCTCTCTGTAGCTCAGACGATCCCTGCTACCTGCGTTTGCTGATCCATTCTTTCACCAAGATTCTTTGTCTTTATAATTCTGTTTCGTGGGAAGTCAGCTTGTGTAGTGCGTGACCCCCTGTCGCCGGTCAGTCACGTAGTGTGAACGCCACAAAGACTCCCGTCACAAGACGGCAAGTTGTGTAGTCTGAATAGCACGGCGATCTGCCGACACTCAAAGTCATGTAGTCTGCAAGAACCTTAAATCATCCCAAGTCTGCACTGAAAGTGCACTGACTGCGGATGCACTAGAAAAGCAAACTAGACATTTGTTTGGTGCACTGTATGTTCTGTATTCCACATCCTTGTTACTTTTCTTGCTAAGAGACACACACAAACACATTGGCTTTTTTTGACTTGTTCATGTCGTCCAGCCAAATACAACAATCAAAGAAACTCTTCTTCTTGCTGTCAGGAGGCCACCATCATGTCTTGTAGAATGCATGGAACGTGTCTAACTGCGCAGACCCCACATTGTATTGTATGTATAGAAGTGTGTGTGCCCGTCTGCGGTCTGTGTCTGTACTAAAGTATGAAGGCTTCACAAGGCAGAAGAAGGTGCACATTTCTTCTCTCTCTCTCTCTCTGTAAGGGCATTCAATTCAGACTTGTGTTGTGTTGGAAGTGATACAGTAAAGTTACTAGGTCTGACCAAGCCCGATTTCCATTGTGACTATATGGAAAAGTGACTGAAGGGCTTATTTAAACAAAGTAGCAGAAACATATACATAACATGTCATTTCAGACATGTCTTTCAGGTGCACCTAATGTGCATGTCTGAGAGGGTTTTTATACATTTATACACTCAACTGTGGACTCCTTCCGCTTTCTGGGCACTATCATCACCCAGGACCTCAAGTGGGAGATGAACATCAGCTCCATCACCAAGAAATCCAGCAGAAGATGGGCTTCCTGCAGCAGCTGAGGAAGTTCAACCTGCCAAACACAGTGATGGTGCACTTCTACACCACCATCCTCACCTCCTCCATCACCATCTGGTACGCTGCTGCCACTGCCAAGCATAAGGGCAAACTGCAGCGTATCCTCCGATCTGCAAAGACGGTGTTTGGCTGCAATCTACTACGCCTCCAGGACCTGTACGCCTCCAGGACGCTGAGGCGAGCAGGAAAGATTGCGGCTGACCCCTCCCACTTTAGACACTCCCCTCCAAATATTTTGCACATCCCTGCACAAACTGTGAGCCATATTGTACATATCATTTTATATCTTACTGTCAGTTTTACATTTATGATTCTTGAACTGCAGTACTTGCTTTATCTTTCTTATATTTTCTACTTGTGTTTATTGTTATGCACCAAAATACCAAAGCACATTCCATGTACTGTAAACTTGGCAATATAGCTAATTTTGATTGTGAAGCTTGCTCTCAGTGAGTGAGCTTGGTGTCTTGTTTAAGGGCACCGTGACACGTTTCATGTAGGTGGTTGGGAGTGAGTACCCTGTTCATTTCCAGCCTCTCCATAAATGCAATCCCAAACTCTGCTCGCATGAATCTGGTCAAACCCACGTGGAGACTCCACACCCCTTATTGTTCAGATTGCTCCCCACAGACCACAAGAGGGCTCTTGCTGACATTTTGCCTCGTCAACTCTAGCATGCTCTACTCCATTTTTATTTTCCCCTCTGTCATTTCAAGCACAGAAGAGACCAAAATATTAAATTATACACAGATTAAGATGGATGCACAGATTAGATGGTTCCAGTTAAAGCTGTATTGCTCCAAGTAGAGCATGCTTGACAAAATCGGTCTCTCCACAAAATTATTTTTAGCACCTCAAAGAGTTTCTAGGGAGTGACAGTCAGATCTATTTGGATTTTATGGCTGTACTCTTCTGACAAGATCTGAGCAGTGGTTTTCATCTTTTAATGACAAACCAACACCATGTGTGCATTAATCTCAGCAAGCTAATGCTGACTTCATACATTTCTAAACAATAAATACCCAATTGCATTTTTGCCGCTTACTGTAGATTCAAGCGTTCAAGCCTCCACAAAGAAGATATAGGATCCCAGGCATGGAGAGCGTTAATGAAACATCAGGAAACCAGGTGAGGTCAGACTCCAGGTCAGACTGATGACCTTAAGGCCATCAAGCTGAATGTTGTACTAGCCGGTTCTGCGTTTGCAATAGCTCGGAGTCTGAGAGTGAGACACGCACGCCACCACAAAGATGTCACAGAAACACACACAAGCCACATGTGAATCAGCTGTGTGCGAGTATGTTTGGATGCATCTGTGAGAATCTGACTTATACACACAAACACAGACACGCTGCCATGTGGAATGCTACCCTGCTGGCTGGCTGGCTGGGGTGTCGGGTTGCAGTAGGTGTTTCAGGCTGTGACCCTGGCATATCTGTGTTTGTTTTATGTCACAGCCCCTCCCTCTGGGGGAGATGACAGTCCAGCAGTGCCTGGGGCGATGAAACCTGAGATAGGCAGAGCTTAGTAGTAAACAACAACTCCTTTATGAGGCAGAGGCGGCTGCCTGCTGCATTCAAAGATCTGAGAGAGAGACAAAGATTTTCTGGGTTATGGCAGTGGCTACTAAAAGTGAGGTCCCCCAGTACGGCCCTTCAGGACATTAAGGGGGGACATCAGCAAAATAAGTTTAATTTCACTGCTTGCTCATTTAAAGTTAGGACAATCTGAGTTTAGCTTGAGACGAGCAGCTAAAATGTCAGACAACATTAACACGGTGATATTCCTGTACAAACACCTAGAGAAAGATTCAGAGAGCTGACAGCCTGCATTATTAAAGCACGCAGTCCTACTGATAAGCCCAAAAGATAGCCAACTGAAAGTAACATTAGAGTTAGCCCTTGATATGTCACATTAGCTTAAATGTTGGCATGTTAGCCTGCCTGTGTCGTGGTTTGTCACTACTGTTTGTTTTTTTTTGCTAATTCTTGACTAACTTTCATTTGGGATTGTGAATGTATTCAGTGCATAAAGCTGTCACATTTTTACTTTTATGAACTGTTAGCTAACATTACTGGCAGAGACATAACTGAAACGTCAAATGCTGCTTATGAGTTTAACGGGCAAGCAGCCTAGAAAGGTAAAATATGTTGTTAGCGTTAGGGGTTAGGATAATGCTAAATTCTAAATTATAGACAGTAGCACACATAGTGAACAGTCATTATTAGGTCAGTGAACAACAATATCAAGTTTGCTAACAGTTGCCACTATTTGTCATACCAGACCAAGCAGGTCACACTGGTTTGTTCCTTTTTATGGCTTATGACTTTCATTTAAAGAGGTTTTTCATATAAGTGTTTGAAATGGCTTTTTAATTATTTAAAATCCAACTTTCTAATTAATTTATAACCCTACATTTCTAGAACTAACTTTGTTTTCAATTGTATTTGTTGTGCCATAAAAAGTTTGAAATTTAACAAGCCAAAGATGTCACTGTATTTTTTGAGCTGACCTTATTTGATTGGTTGTCAGCTGCTCGTCCATGCAGAGCAGACCCATTCTCCTCCTTCTCTGAATAGAGTTTGGCCGCTCCACTCTTTCCTTTTGTTGTTGAACGCAGCCCATACAGTCCGGCCCCTTCCCCCTCGCTCTCTTCTCTTTTTTTCCACACACCCTCCCATCTCTCACTCACTCTATTTCATCTATCCAGGGTGACGCCAGTCCCTCTCACCCCGCCCCGTTCAACTCAGTCCACTGCGTTCATTTCATTCCTGCTCCCATTCCGCGCATATTTCGCATCCTTGGAGAGACGCTGCGCATTTTACGCACTCAGCGCGCCGGATTCTTCAATAAACCCAAACCGAGAGGAGACTCAGGAGTTCGCGGAGTTCTTCCCGATGCTGTAGCGACAGATCCGTGGAAAAGTGTGGGAATTAATCCATAAAGAGGCGTATGAATCGAGGTAAGTTCCCAAGGAGGAGTCCCCCCTCAGCCTGTAGCCTGCGCGTATGAAAGCCCCCGGACGTTTCGCTTGTTTCTAAAACCCTGAAGTGGTCACCGAAGCTGAAATTACAACAATTTCGCGACATCGCGAGCGAAATCGACACACTCCGGCCCCTTGTAGATGTTAAAGAAGTCTAACACGCTTATTACTGCTTTGCCGTGTGAGCCTCAAAGCGAGGGATGTCGCTTTCACTACAGTTTTATCCCCCTCTCTCCCGACACCAACCCCCCCAAACAAACCTGTTTTTCTATCACTTCTTCCTCTCGTATACTAAAATACACACTGTGGGATATTACCCCATCATTGTTGGGTCCATGAATTGACCTACATGAAACGCGAACAGGATGAAAACAGTGTCGCTGCAGCGCTGTGAGGCAGCTTAACAAAGCTGGGAGTGAATGGGGGACTTGTTGCATCGGCGGGGTTTTCTCTTTTCCTACACTGGCAGGCCCCAGTCACCGGAACAGGCCATAGGCTGATAACATGCACACAGTCAGTGTTTACCCAGTGGACAGAGCACATTATATGCTCAATGAGATCACGATCATAGGGGCGGCTGGTGGATGTGTTAACGCATTTACTCCTCCTCTCCATCTTAAAGAAAAATGACTAATATTAAGGATTTAACACTCATTATTTATAAGCCTAATTTGAGTTTTTCCACCTTTACCAGGGCGACTCATCTTTCATTGTGTGCAACCACGTTTTCCATCATATTTGTGGACTAAACTGATGTTAAGCTGCCAGGAGTGAGGGGAATTTAGTGGTTTGCTGAAAACAAGATTTAAATGTGTCATTCTTATGATTCCACTTCAACCACCATTTCATTTTACTTTTCAGATCACACATGTTTGAAGTGTCTTTGGTAGCTGGCCGTAATTTTGTAAGAGACCTAATATATTTTCAAATCCCCTTCAGCCTTTATGATATCTCCATATGGGCTTTAGTGTATGCTTGTTGTGTATTTCCTTTTAAATATTGATTAAAGGGCTGCTCTTGTCCTTTATAGCAAGAGATCTGTGGTAATGCAGGCCAAACCACAATGTAATTATTGGAGAAAATTATAGCCTGTAGCATGAAACATAGTAGCTGCATTACTTCTGTAACAGTAATCCATCTGCCAGAGGAGGGGAGGGGTATGTCAGATAAAAGGCTTCTTCTTGATAAAATAGATGTGGCTGAATGAAATTGTCAAGTACAGTTTATGGAGATTAATGTTTTGTTTTGTCAGAGAAGAGGCTGTAACCAGTAACAAAATTACAGTCACAGTGAGTTTATGACTCAAAATTTCCATCTGTTAAGGCTGCAACTAACGATTGGTGTCATTATTATTTAATCTACGGATTATTTTCTCAATCCATAAATTTTTTTTTTTCAGTGTGAAATCTGCTTATTGTAATTTCTCTGAGCCCAAAGCAATGTCCCCAATATCTTGTTTTGTTCCAAGAAACAGTCCAAAACTCAAACATATTCACTTTACAGTGAGAAAAGCAATAAATGCTCACATTTAAGAATCTGTATCCAAAGAATCTGGGGCGTTCTGGCTTTGAAAAATGACTGAAACAATTAATTAATACCCAATTTAGTTGCTGATTAGTCGATCAACTAACCTATTTCACCTGTCCCACAGTTACAAAACTATTGGTGTGTGAGATGGATCTTTAAAATATCGAGAAAGCAAGAAAGGAATATCTAAAATAGTTTTATGTAAGGTGCTTTATTACATGTGTGACATTACAGAGGTATATGCATGTTTATTTCGGTTGCAGAGTTTTGGTCCATCTGTGGTAGCTGGCAGCAGTGTCAAATATTGATAAATGTGACGTTGTGGTGCTCTAAACGAACAACAGTATCTATGATCTTGTCTTTTTTCTTGAAAATGGGAATTTCAAGAAATGACGAGGTTTTTGATTTTTAAAAAGTGTTAACCTTAATTTGCAAGCAAATTGCACTTTTTATTCTCTCCTTTTGTTCCATTTAAGTGTTTAAAAATGATGTGATGATAATAATGATCCCCGAAGTGTAACAGGAAGGAGTTGCATATGTGTGTGTGTGTGTGTGTGTGTGTGTGTCATTGTCTTTTCTGTGTCTAGGCCTGCGAGTGTACAAAGCTTTGTCAGTCACCCAGGGCAAACAGCCTCCTGTCGCCCCTCCACTTTCCTCCCCTCTTCTTCCCCCCGTGCCTCTCCCTCTCCAGTCCGTTGACATCTGTTTTGAGTGCTCCATGCACCTGTACAGATCGGGGAAGTGTGTGTGTGTGTGTGTGTGCGTGTGTGAGATAGAGAGAGGGGAGGAGGAGGACGAAGGGAGGTGCAGAATGCAAATCCAGGCGTTTGTTCTGGGCCTAAGCAACGCAGACTGACTGACTAACGACCATTTGGTGTGTGTGTGCGCATTTGTGTGTGTGTTTGCCTCTTGCTGTCCAGGCCAGGCAGGCCTATTGTTGCGGCAGCAACAGGCGTCGGTGGATGAGGACGCACCATATGGCCTCTGTGTGCTTTAGTCACAACCGCTGTGTACGTGCACATGTTTGTGTGTGTGTTCATGTACTTCACCGGGGCTGTAACAATATGGTGGAGTTGTGAGCAGCAGGCTGCTCGCTGCCCTCCACCTTGTTGTTTCATCTGTCGTCTCATTTCTAGACACAAGGATATAATCCGGCACACAGATTTTTATGGAGTCAGGATTAGGAGGAGTAATCTTCCTGGCATGAAATGTTTGTTCATTTATATTCAAATGATTTCATTTTTTTTAGCAGATTTAGTGGAGAGTTTTGCTCGGTGAGGTGAATCAACAGGTGATACAGGCAGTCCTGGAAATGAAGGGATGCTTCTGGCTGTGAAGAAGTCTGTGTTGTTGTTGGAGTTATTGACGTGTCAACTGGAGAATTTTCTCACAATTTCATTTTAATTCTAAGTCAAATCTAGTCCTACAGTATCCCCGCAGTCCTGTTTGGATGTCTCAGGCTACAACAGCTCCTGCATTTAATTTAATTTTTGCTCGCACATGTGGAGATTGTTCTGCACGTTGTGCTCACCAGAAAGTGACAGGGATTTGCGTGTAGCAGGATGAATTAGGACAAATTTGGTCTCTCTGTTTTTAAAAACTATTGAGTGTGAATGAAGCCTGATCTCGAATGTAATGAAATTTAGGGAGCGGAGCCGGTTTATTAGAGCAACAATGCTGAGTGGGTGGGGGGCAGGGGGCAATGGGGGTGGGTGAGGAAAGGGAGGATGGGTGTTGGGGGTGTGGGGTGAGGTGGGGGTGCAGGCTTTGTTTAGGGGATGGGGGAACAATAGGCATCCTCCTGGGTGGGGTGCGGTAGGGGTTTGTGGGTGTGCAGGGGAGTGGGGTGGGGGGGCTAGTTTCTGGCTGCAGGAGGCTGTGGAGCCTGTGCTGGCTTGCCTGACCGCCCATCTCTCCTCTCCTTGTCTTTGCCTGTCTGTCAGTCTGTCTCTCTCACATGTCCATGCTAATGCAAATGCATTCAAAATGTATCTTTTTCTTTGTTTACGTCTAGGCTGGGGATCACATTACTCACGGTATGATACTATCAGCATATTTTGCAGACGATAAGAATAGTATTACCGCACAGGTGATTGTGCAACATATTGTAGGATAGTCGTCTATGCATCACGGTGTGTGTAAGTGAAGAGAAAAACACATAACCCTAAACACTCTGTATTTACATAAGCAGGATCTACATTGTATTGCTTTTATTCTCTGCACTGTAACAATTTTTCTGTCACCCAAAGTTTAAAAAAAAAGCTGAGATGAAACGGTGTGTTCCGAGTGCAGAGAACAGTTATACACTTTGCATCGTTCAAATGCTGAACAGACATAAACTGGCACACAGCTGAACTGTCAGGAAGAGAACAGTTTAGGCAGAAAACGTCTGTAGCAGAAGAAAGAAACAAGAGACATATTGCAACAATGGTCCCAGTCTATCAGTAAAGTATCACATCCTTCCATAATCCACACTGACCTTTCCAATACTGAACATATAGTCTGTATAAATTACAACACTGCATTTGTGTGGACAGGAGAAGCAGAACCTTTTTGAAAACGCTCATCTGTTTACCAGCGTCTCAACCTCGAACAAACATGGCTGACACACTTCTGCCTGCTGTTGCCTTCAAATCTCTCTCAGATTTTGTATTTAACATTAGCAGATATGCTAATTCTGCTTCTCTGTCGGGCTGCTCAAGGAGCATGACGCACCTTGAGTTTTTGTTTATATTGTTCCAGCTCAAATCACTTGTTTTATATGATATATATTTAAAGTTAATTATTTTTAATTAATTTATTACTCTTTTAAAAAAAAGAAACAATCCATATTCCATATAAAGTAGTTTGCTTTTGCAAGAAGACGCTGACCTTTGTACAGTAAAAGAAAGTCCATACACGAGTGCAGGAAATCTTCTAGGAAAATAAAATAAAGAGAAATATGGAAGAAATTGTGGTAGTAGTTTTTATGCTTAAAAACTCCAAATGAAAATTGAATACAGAGTGGTTGCATTTTTTTCTTCGCTGTGGAGTTCTGGAAATCTGATTTACCCCAGATTTTTGTATTAGTGCTGTTTTTATATACACATTCTCCAGTTTTTTTATGTTAAAAATGAACACCCGTAAATTCCTGACATTTATTTTGAAAATGTAAGAGTTGGAGGAAACAGAGCTTTACCCTGAAAAGACAGTGGAGCATGTCACCTGCCAAGTTTAGCCATTCTATTCAACCACACTACGAGCCAGATCACGGTGGGAATAAACCATTTTTTCATCAATCAACAACAAACAAAAAATCAGAGGATGAGATTTAAGTGTCTTTCTGTTGTTTTGGCATTTCAGTTTGGATGACGCACATTTTTAGAAACAGGAGCTTCAATAAACCGGCACTGTGGACAAAAAACATATTAACAGCATTTTCAGGATTATCTCCATTAGCACGGTCATGATCT